TGTTCTTCTTTGCGTCTTTTATTGCATACAAAACTTCTTCGGTGATAATGTTTAATTTTTCATCGGTATCCATGTGTGGGGGCTCTTCTGTTCTCTGATCACCAAACAAATCTTTAAGATATTGCTCCCATATTTCTTTCTTTATTTTATTATTATATTTATTATTATATTTTAATAATATAGTATAATTTTTAGATTCTTCATTACTTTTTATATAAATAATATACTCTTTATTTCTTATGATAAAGTTATTATATTTTGACATTTTGGAAGTTAAAAATGAAGCGTTATTTTGGTAATGATGATAATAATAATGATGATAATGATGCTGATGATGATGATGATAATCATCATCATTTAGCATGGAAACTAGTCCATTTGCCACAGATTTTTGTATAGCATAATGTTATATTTATGAATTGAAACCTAATTGTAACAAATTTATATTATATATCTGTTTGCATATAAGTGATTACATACGTGTTCGTATATTTGTTTCTAATTCAGTGATTGTAGGTGGATTATATTTACTGGAAGTTGCACATTACATTTAACCATAAAACTAGGTTTTTATAAAATTTTGCTAACAAGGTTGATCTGTATAAAACTAAGTGACTCGTAACAACATTTTAAGAGGCAGATGCCCGCTGTAGGTTTGCTCAAAACCATCTTGAAAAGGTCAACAGATGGTTCGGAAGACGAAGAGTAACACCTAACCCAAATCAAACGTAAATGATTCTCTTCCATCTCAGCAGACACATCATTCACAACATAGCCAAAAGAATTGACCTAGGAGTTTGGAGCGACTGAGACAGCAGGACAGCTGAGCGACCTTTTTGATTAATAAGTGTTGATTATTCACTTTTCGCTCCTTACCGGACTGAGTGTTGATCGATCGGACTTCCCTTTCGTTGGCATTTAAATTCTGTATTCTAATATCTCAGATTTTAATTTCTTTTGTTGTTTGCTTCAAATATATTTTTATTTTAATTCAACCCAAGTTTTACTTAGTCTATTGTCTAAAAGATCTACCCGTCACAATATGTGCTTTTACATATGTACGCTTAAACTATTCTGGATAAAGATGAAGATAGAAATAAGGCATTTTATGTGATATGATCATAGCCATGTATAAGCAGGACTAGCAAAACTTGCATAACGATTTCATTGTCAGTTCATTCTTTACGGTGACCAGTTTAATTTATATTTACATATTTCACGGGTGACGTTTGAATAGTAGGAGTAAAAGTGGGATTTGCTATAAATCCTAATCTTTCAGTGGATATTAAAAAGATTATTACAAACTGAACGAGTTTTGTATATTATGTTTTTAAAGCTAATACAACAACATTAATACTGAATTTTTTACTGCCGTCAGTAAATGAATTAATTCCAAAAAGTCGGATTCATATTATAATAATTTCATTAAATGTACGCTGTAAATTTTAAAATAATCCTCTGCAGTATATAAATATGAACGTGTATGCATAATACCAAATATATACATTTATAAAGGATATGATTAAATATTGAATTAATTTTATAAATTTAGTACAGTGAAGGTAAAATCTTTATTTCTAAAAATGTGTTTCCATACACAAATACAAAGATTCCGAAATACTTAAATACTAAAGCTAGCAACTTAGGAGTACCAATAATAGACTTATAGCATAGAATATAATAGAAATATGCTTTATTGTTACTGAAAATTGTACAGCTTTATGTGCAAAGTTTACACAGAGTAAAAAAAAATAACAATAACAATTTGAAATTTACTTAAATTACATAAATCTGAATAACTGAGTTAAAACACACCATTAAAAGATGTCACAAACGAAGTTTTACTATCCTTAACTAAATTTTAAAATGTATTTTGTCCATTATTTTATATGTTATATTTTATATGTGTGTTATTAATGTCAACGTGTGATAAATAATCTCAACGACAATGTCTTGAAAAAGGAATAAAACAATTCCGAAAGCTAGACCAAAAGTCAAAAGAGTGTTTCTGTAACATCCCGGCCAAACTTCTGACTGCAGCCCTAATAAATAAATATATATATATATACATATATATATATATATATATATATATATATATACGTATATATATATATATATATACATATATATATATATGTATATATATATATATATATATATATATATATATATATATATATATATATATATAGTATATTCTTAAATATTGTGGAAATCTGCAAGAAATACTCCAATGAGTATCAACTGTTTCGTCGAACGTTTTCGCCAAAGAGAATTATTTTTGCTTCTTCAGGACTAAAAGAAAACAAATTATTATAATTGGCTACCATATAATATCTATTTAAAAAACACTGGAAATCTTACTGTAACTTAGAATTGTAGAGTAAACATATTTAAAAAAACTTAGCTACTAACAACATGGTGTTTTTTTTTTGTTACTATGTGAAAAAATTATCGTAGGAAAGGTATGGTAGCTTTGAACTTAAAACGTGAAGGTGTACCCAAGGTTAGTCGAAAAACCCAATGTAACTACATTTAAAAAGAATTATTTTTTTGATTTGTCAGCAATAATTAAATTTTTGATTGTTAGAAAGTTTAAATGGGAGGTTCTATTCTTCTTCTGTTCAAAGTAGTTCTTGTGATTCTTTATTAAAATTATTTTCGACCGTACTGTGTTAAGTATTGATTTATAGTATCAGCAATTGGCCTAGATAGGAAACAAAACTCTATTTTCAAATTTCTTTTATATATCTGGTTTTAATAAGAACTTCATTATAAAAATTTTCTTCACGGATTGTTAAGTGTACTCCTTAAAAATGGTTTCACTGTATAATCAGAATATCCAAGTAACAACCTATTTCTATTGTCTCCATTTAAATTTCTTATCAAGAATACATAATTATTTCCACCTACCTGGTAGGTACCTCGATAAACTTATCCAAAAAGTATCACAAAATTCCATATAATATAAATAGAAAATTTATTGAAAGTTTTGAAAATTTCGTACTACACTCTGAATATTTTGTACACTTTTCTATATATAATTTAATGTATTGTATAATTATTAAAAGAATCTGACAACCAAGGTACTATGCGCATATTTTTTATTTTTTAATAAGATACTACTATTATTTAATTCACCAATATCTCTTGAAAAACGTTTATTAATCCATTTTTTTTAATTAACAAGATTGAAAAACCTTTAATGCCTCTTAATCTTTTAATTTATAATCTTTTATTAACAACTATTTATAATATTTTCTTAGAAAATGGATCACTTTCGGTTTACTTAATCCAAACCTCTTAAAAAATCTTTATCCTTACAAAAATTAAAATGTTTGATTCTACTTTAAATATTATATTCTCCCACTGGGCTTACAAACATACAACATCATACTGATCATACTCTTCGATTTTATTAAACCTTCCAATACCGGATCCATGTCGTCTACCTACAATACACAACAATATTTAGGTAATATTTTTGATTTCGATAACCTATCTACATATCTTATTATAATTTCTATATATCCATATCTTATTTCAAAATAACTGCAATGAATATTTTTGACAATTTGTCGAAAAAAAAGTTATTCGTATTGTTAATTATTTTAAAATATAAATTAAAATATAATTATAATTATTAGTGTTATTAATTAAACGTATCGTTTCAAAAACAAAATATAATTGAAATGTCAGTGTCTTTCCTAGGTGGCGTAGTTACCGTACTGGACAAACGGTGCGACTTGTCGTTCTAATCTTTTATATAGATAGATGTTTGGCCAAGTTTTACTAAAATTCACTGATTGTTATTAAAAAGACAAAAAATTGTGATATATTGTTTAAGAAAAAGGGAAGAATGATTCAGATATCACGATTTATTGGGCACAGTCTACAAAATATTGTTTGACTTATAAATTCCTTCGGTATTTTTAATAAAATATACAGATTTAAATTTATAAATGACCGCCTAAACCTCAGATTGTCTGCACAAAACACTCACAGGCGGTGGTCAGTGTTGTGGACAGCATCTGCAGAACCATCATCGGCGATGTGGTCGGTCGTCGGCTGCTACGTCCCATTCTAGCTCTTTCGGTACCTTCTGCATGTCGCCCGTGCGTCGTAGGCGAGTTTGCCTGAGCCTCCGTGGTGCTCTGGACCACATACTGGCTACTCCGGGGACATCCATCAGGTACAGCATCGAAGTCGGGTGGCTCGAAGATATCTCACACATCGACGGTTTCAGGCTGCAGAAGGTGGATATCGGCATGTTAGTGTGTAATGTACTAACATCCGATACATCTCCCCGCTGTTTTCTTGAGTGGTTTTGATGCAGGCCTCGTGTTTGAATTGTTTTTGTGATGTTGGATCGCTGGAGCATGAGAACTCTGAACGCTCAGAGTCGTAGTGCGTTCGATTTTGTTGGGCGGCATGTCGTCTCCGGGCGATAATTAATAAACGTAGGAAATTGTATTGCAACTCGGTGCTATAACCATGTTTATTAATATCTCTAACTATTGCGCAATATTGCGTAGTTAGCCGGAACGCTCTAATTTGGGCATTGTCTTGAAAAAGACAATGCTGGTAGGTAAATAAAACTCAGAAGTTCTAAGTAGAAAAAAACTCAGCGTCAGAGTCTTTAGAACTTTTCAGAGCCCTTAAGAATGAAGAGCCCTGGGGCTACCCTCTAAGGGTAAAACCGCACTGACTGTAAATCCGAAAATGTCCCATATTTAAAGTAAAATTAACTTTTATATGAAACCTTTTCGATTTTTAACCAATTAAAATTTGAATAAAACTCCAGAAGGAAGGGCGATGAACATCGAGGTGCGTGATTGGTGGCACCTGATGACAAGATGACTCACTCTGTAAATACTTCTGTGAAAATTTATGAACATAATAAATTTTATATGTAGATACAATTTGCAATAGAATTTATTTTTTTTTGTTTTAAGTTAAGACTATGAATGCGAAATAAAATTACTTTTTCTTTTTAGTTTCGATGTCAGAGCCAGACAGTTCAATCAAGCAAAGCTGTGGTCATCGCCGGAAATGTTTGGACCTAGGGCATTTTTTCGAGCTGCTACGGATCCAGCGGCATTAGTAATAGACAATATTAAATTAGCGGATGAAGGTGTTTACCGCTGCCGTGTAGACTTCAAAAACTCTCCAACCAGAAACAGTAAAGTTAATTTTACTGTTATCGGTAAGTCAGTTACATTATATAAAATAGTTAAATACTACTCTTTTTAAAAAGATAAAATAATTAAAAAGTTGTTTATATTCAATCGTTAGAAATATACTGGTATATATGTTGCAAAATTATTAGTTACGTATCGCTACTGTTAATACTTTTAGCAAATGCATCACAACTATCTATGTTAAGATCTGTTAATTTACTTTTTGGCTTTAATGTCGATTTCTCACTAATTACACCAGCTAACTAAATCACTGCTATTCCTTTCAAGAAGTTTAGTATATTGAGAGGCTGTACCAGCTTCTAGTTACAGTAGTTTTAAGGATGTGTCTAGTGGTTTGATTTCTTAACTTACAAAGTCTGTTTTCTCTCAATATTTCTAGGTGCTTTCACAGTCGACAAATACCTGTAAGTATTCTTCTTGAATTGTATTATTTTTAGTCGAAATTCTCTTATTTTCTTTTTTTTTTTCAGAGCTACAACACAGGGTGACTTCACAATCTGCCCTCACTTTCTTCGGTCCTTCATTAGTTCAAAAATTTAGCTCAGTACCCCTGACATCTCAAATCTCAAAAATTGGACCATAATCAAAGTTCAAATCCTCCTTATCATAATTCACTATTTGTGAGTGAATTTTGTTTTTACTTTGTTTAGGCTTTATCGCCTCTTCAAGGGTGGTATTTTTATTAAAAAATCGTCAATCTATGTGTATTGCCGATCTCCAGGACTAAGTAGTGGCTGTAAAGCAGTAGTGTCAGAATTATTTCCTGCCTTTGGGTGTCATTTGGACCAAGTCCGCTACAACATTTTCTATTGGAAACGGTCCCTTTCAGATTTTAAGCCTTTTTGTTTTGTTCGATTTAAACGCGTAGAGTATAGCTGTGGCTGTGTCCTCAGCTAGAATCAGCTATCGTTGTGCAGTGCAAACAATGTTTTCGTGTTATATAAAGTCTACCTTATATAATATCTTATAAAGTTGCCGCTTTACACTTACCCCTACTCAGAATAACACGTGCAAAGTTCTGCAGGACCACCATGTAACAATTTTTTTTTTTACTTAATTAGATGGCTTTGGTAAAGACCAATTAGCCAGACGATTTTTTTTTAACTATAATAATTTAAAAAAGAAAACTTAAAAAGAAAACTCATCCTTCTTCACAATAACAATGCTTAAAGTATTAGTAGTGCTTAAAGCTAAGTGTGAGCAGTGTAATTTGTGTTTTTTTTTCTATGTGGAATTTAGTTTTGTTTTTAAATATATATATTTTTATTTTCAATTTTTTTTGTTGCTTTGTTTTTGTTTTTATTTTTGTTTGTTTTTTTTATATGCACTATTTTTTTTTATTTTTTTTTTAATTTTTTCGTCGCCCACTTACAAAATCTAACTAGTTGCAGGATTGCTAACAAAGAGGTGGTTAGTAATTTACAATTTCATTTTGCACCGTTTGGTGTGATTATATAAGCAGTACAATATATTAATATTCTTATTGAAAATTATACAATTTAAATTTATAGGTAAGCAAATTTTGTTATTAATAACTTCATTATAAAATTTATCTGTGCTTTGACTATTTAATGAACAACCAAGTAGAATATGTGTTAAGTCTCCAAGTTCCCCACATAAACATGAGGAATCATCAATTAAACCAATTTTACATTTATAGCTTGGTGACATTGCATGATTTGCTCTTATTCTGTTTAAAGTAATAATAAAGTTCCTGTTGTTTTCGTTGTAGAACCATCTTATTATTGGGATTTGGACTTGACATGATTTATGTCATGCCATTTAGCCTTAAGTTGAACTTTAAGCCTTAAGTTGAACGTTAGCCTTAAGTTGAACTTTAAGTGTGGAATTCAAATCTGTATATGGAATACACTGGTTAATAGAATCTCTGTGTAAGTCTGAGGCGGATTTTGCAAACTTATCAGCAATTTCGTTTCCTTGAATACCCGAATGCCCTTTGATCCAAACTATTAGTACCTCCCGTTGCGAGCTAAGTATTTCGTGATTGGTCTGTAGTATTTCTAACCATGTAATAAGTCTAGTGAATCACTTTTGAAAACTTTTTTTTGAGAATATCAAACACAATATTATTTAAGAAATGTAAAAAGGTCAGTAACTGGAGTCAGTCTAAATTTCAAAAATCGAGAGAGGCGATCTTTGGTTTGCAAACATTAATACAGAACTGTTTAGATCAAATATATGTAATTTGGTCTGTTCCATTGATTATGGGAAAGCAGTAAAACACGAACTAATAATAAAATATCTACAAGAATTTGGATTGGATACCAAGAATGTATAAAAGTTATCGCTAATCTGTATGGGAACTAGACAACAGTACGTCTTCAAATTTTTAACGAATCGGAAGACTTTCCAATAAGAAAGGGAGTAGGTTAAGGTTTTATACTTTTTCAGTTATGTTCAACTTATACGTAGAAAAAGCATACGCACAAGCAGTTTCAGACTCCAATAATGGTATTAAAGTAAACCACATATTTATTAACAACATTAAGAATGCCGATGACACATGATCTTAAATGCCTTTTAAATGATCTCTTACAAATGAAGGTTAGGGTTTGAAAATAAATATCAAGAAATTAAAAATAATGATTAGAGGTAGAAATAATTGTTCAAATGTAAAGATATATGTAGCTGAAAAAAAAGTCGAGAAGCATAGGCAGTTTAAATACCTGGGCTGTCTGGCTATATGATAAATGAGACCGCCAGACTGACATGAACAGCAGAGTAGAACAAGTCAGAAATGTTTTTTTTGAACATTCGTTAATTTCTAATTGATCGCAACTTGGGTTTCAACCTAAGGTACAAGATGCAGAAGTGTTGCGTTTGGTCTGTTTCCTTCTATGTAAGTGAAGTATAGACAGTGCCCCATCCATAAACAAACTTTAGGTTTTTAAAATATGGTGCCTGTGTCGAATAGATATAAAGATGTATTAGAAGAGCGGGCCTTCAGGATATGAAACTTTTTGATTATGTAAAAAATAAAACGCCTGTATATTTGGGCCATATATGACAAGAAATACACTACACTTTTCAGCAACCAGTACTATAAGGCAAGAAGGCTAGGATGTAAAAAGATGTCATTGCTGCGTAAAATTCGCCAATGGACAGAAATTTACTATTATGAAATAAGTGAAAAAAAAAAGAAGGTACAGAAATAAAAAAATACTTGGGTAATGTATTAAGAGGTGAAAGAAATAAATTACTTCGAATAATATTAGAAGGTAAATTACACTAAAGAAGATCAGTGAAAAGATGCCAAAACTCATGAAGTAGATGGTTTGGTAGAATGGCATTTTTTGTGCAGCAGTTCCCAAAGCTACAATGACCATTTGTGTTGCCAGACTTCGTAAGAAAGCCTTTAAGCTGTCTAAATTGTACATATTATCTGCTTAGCTGGAGCAAGTTATTTATATATATATATATATATATATATATATATTATATATATATATATATATATATATATATATATATATATATATATATATATATATATATGTTTTCGACCGTTACTTGATGGAAATTCATTTTATGTAACAATAAAACACTGAAAACTTTGCTTGTTTTCCACAAAATTTATTTTAACTATTATCACTACAGCTGTTTCGGTTGATTGCCTTACTCAAGTGATCTATTTTTGGCATGCGTTTACAATTTATAGTCTCTAATGAAATAGGTTGAGGAGAAGAGAACTGTTTGTCTCAAGTTGGTCATTCAGAATTATATCTGTGTTTTTTAATTTGTTGATTTCCATAAATTCTAACAAAGATAGCTTAAGGCTTTTATTTTAAATGTGAAGTATTTTAAATTTGTCATTAAAAGAATGATTATGATCTAGAAGGTGAAGTGGGTATGTCGAATCTGTTTTTCTATTATTGAAAGCCCTTTTATGTTCTGCTATTCGTTTATTAAAGTTTCTATCAGTTTGACCGATGTAAGTTTTTGGGCAGTCGCCACATTCAAGTTTGTACACACCACTATTTAAGTGTTTTTTATTTTGTCTCTTGTTATTTTTAATATATTTGCCTAGATTGTTATTTGTTCGGAAAGATGGTGTTATTCCTTTCTTTTTTATGTGTTTGGCTATTTTTGTTATTATTTTGCCTGTATATATAATCGAGCAGAAGGTACTGGGTTTTTTCTCTGGTGGTGGAAATACTAATTTCAGGGCTTTCGTGTGTAGTTTTTGATTTAACATTTTATTAATTGTTTGTTCGTTGTATCCGTTGTTTACTGGTATTTGCTTAATTATATTTAATTCTGTCTCAAAGTTGTATTTTGACATCGGAATTTCTGTTAATATATGTAACATACTATGATAAGCTGCCAGTTTATGTTGTGTTGGATGGGATGATGAATTGTGTATAGTCGTGTCAGTATGTGTAGGTTTATGAAATATGGAGAAGTCATGTTTGTTTTTAAGTCTGATAATTTTTATATCTAAAAAATTTGTGGATTGATTTTGTTCTGTTTCTATTGTAAATTCAATATGACTATGAAGTTAATTAATATACGATAAAAATTGGTCGAGTTGCCTGTTAGTTCCTGTGAAACATACCGTTCAAACAATTTCTATATTGGTGGAGATACGTAGACGACGTACAGTTACTAAGAGGTATTGGACTATATTTAACTTATTACTTAATATAATTGTATGATGTACCTAGCTGATTGTATTTTATGAGTTTTTCATTATTGTTTACACCATGTTATGTAGAACTTGTTTAAAGATTCTATCAGAATCCAGTAATACTTATTACATAATAATTTATACATCACAATATCTTTCTATGTTAAGTGTTGTTGCATATTTTGAGATTTTGTAACGGTCATTCGGCCTTTTTAAAGTGTTAATAATAATATAAATATATAAATAATATTACCATACATGAATTTGTTTTGTTACATATAGGTACTTGAACGATAAGCGAAATAACGTAAAACGTCAGCAATTTTTTAAAATTTTATAGTCTTACCAAACTCTCGTCAGCCAAATATATTCAATAAATTTTATGGCTTTGAGATTGAAAAGTTATCAAAACTGATGTGGGGGCAAAAGAATACTCTCGGGCAGAAATCTTTTCCAGACAAGAAAAATTGATAATATTTATGATCAATAAAGTTTTAAATTAGTATAATAAATTTTATGTGCCACAAAGTCGTAGTTTAGATTTATTAGTTTGGGTAAACTTTTTAAATGCGTTTAGCAGCTTTCGATACTTTTACTGTTTAACGAAATTTTTTATTTTGTTTTTTTTTTTATTTTAATATCAAAATGGCCTCTTACAGTCAAAGGTAATTATTAATTTAAAAGATATTTTATTATATGAGAAATATCTCTGGAATTGTTTTTTGTTTTGTTAATTGTAGGACCATCGTAGGCCACGTTGTTTAAGATGTCTTAATTTTGAAAAAAAAAAAAAAATTAAGTATTTTGTTTTTGTCTACAACTTTCATAATTGTATTTTCATAACTTTTATTATTTTTAGCTAAATTATCAATTTAATAAATATACAATGCTAAGTAGAAGATTTATAAACACTTCTTGACAGTGTCGTTGGAAGT